CTTGAGAAGAAATATTTTCTCTATATGTTCTTATGTAAAACTTTCGATCCCCCAATGGGCCCCATCCAACCCCTGGGGGTCATCATTTGAACAAAATTGAATCTACACTACCTGAGGATGCTTCCATATCAAAATGACTAATCATGGTTTGCAGTTCTTCAGAAGAAGATATTTCCCTATATATTTCTACTTAAGACTTTGAACCTCCATTGTGGCCCCAACCTACCCACGGGAGTCATGATTTGAACAAAATAGAATCTACACTACCTGAGGATGCTTCCATATAAATATGATCAATCAGGGCTTTGCTGTTTCTGAGAAGAAGATTTTTAAAATTTTTCCTATACATTTCTATGTAAAACTTTGATCCTCCATTGTGGCCCCGCCCTACCCCTGGGGGTCATGATTTGAATAAATTTGAATCTACACTACCTGTGGATGTTTCCATATAAATATGAACAATCTGGGCTTTGCTGTTCCTGAGAAGAAGATTTTTCCTATATATTTCTATGTACAACTTTGATAGTCCATTGCAGCCCTGCCCTACCCCCGGTGGTCATGATTTGAACAAACTTGAATCTACACTACCTGAGAACGCTTCCATATAAATATGACTCATCATGGCTTTGCTGTTCTTGAGAAGAAGATTTTTCCTATATATTATTTCTATATAAAACTTTGATCCTCCATTGTGGCCCCGCCCTACCCCTGGGGGTCATGATTTGAACAAACTTGAATCTACACTACCTGAGGACGCTTCCATATTAATATGACTCATCATGACTTTGTTGTTCTTGAGAAGAAGATTTTTAAAGATTTTTCCTATATATTTCTATGTAAAACTTTGATCCTCCATTGTGGCCCCACCCTACCCCCGGGGGTCATGATTTGAATAAATTTGAATCTACACTACCTGTGGATGTTTCCATATAAATATTACTCATCATGACTTTGCTGTTCTTGAGAAGAAGATTTTTAAAGATTTTTCCTATATATTTCTATGTAAAACTTTGATCCTCCATTGTGGCCCCACCCTACCCCCGGGGGTCATGATTTGAATAAATTTGAATCTACACTACCTGTGGATGTTTCCATATAAATATTACTCATCATGACTTTGCTGTTCTTGAGAAGAAGATTTTTAAAGATTTTTCCTATATATTTCTATGTAAAACTTTGATCCTCCATTGTGGCCCCGCCCTACCCCTGGGGGTCATGATTTGAATAAATTTGAATCTACACTACCTGTGGATGTTTCCATATAAATATGAACAATCTGGGCTTTGCTGTTCCTGAGAAGAAGATTTTTCCTATATATTTCTATGTACAACTTTGATAGTCCATTGCAGCCCTGCCCTACCCCCGGTGGTCATGATTTGAACAAACTTGAATCTACACTACCTGAGAACGCTTCCATATAAATATGACTCATCATGGCTTTGCTGTTCTTGAGAAGAAGATTTTTAAAGATTTTTCCTATATATTATTTCTATATAAAACTTTGATCCTCCATTGTGGCCCCGCCCTACCCCTGGGGGTCATGATTTGAACAAACTTGAATCTACACTACCTGAGGACGCTTCCATATTAATATGACTCATCATGACTTTGTTGTTCTTGAGAAGAAGATTTTTAAAGATTTTTCCTATATATTTCTATGTAAAACTTTGATCCTCCATTGTGGCCCCACCCTACCCCCGGGGGTCATGATTTGAATAAATTTGAATCTACACTACCTGTGGATGTTTCCATATAAATATTACTCATCATGACTTTGCTGTTCTTGAGAAGAAGATTTTTAAAGATTTTTCCTATATATTTCTATGTAAAACTTTGATCCTCCATTGTGGCCCCACCCTACCCCTGGGGGTCATGATTTGAATAAATTTGAATCTACACTACCTGTGGATGTTTCCATATAAATATTACTCATCATGACTTTGCTGTTCTTGCAAAGAAGATTTTTAAAGATTTTTCCTATATATTTCTATGTAAAACTTTGATCCTCCATTGTGGCCCCGCCCTACCCCCGGGGGTCATGGTTTTAACAAACTTGATTCTACACTACTTGATGATGCTTCCATATAAATATGACTCATCATGGCTTTGCTGTTCTTGAGAAGAAGATTTTTAAAGACTTTTCCTATATATTTCTATGTAAAACTTTGATCCTCCATTGTGGCCCCGCCCTACCCCCGGGGGTCATGATTTGAACAAACTTGAATGTACACTACCTGAGGATGCTTCCATATAAATATGACTCATCATGGCTTTGCTGTTCTTGAGAAGAAGATTTTTAAAGATTTTTCCTATATATTTCTATGTAAAACTTTGATCCTCCATTGTGGCCCCGCCCTACCCCCGGGGGACATGATTTGAAGAAACTTGAATGTACACTACTTGAGGATGCTTCCACATGAGTTTCATCTTTCCTGGCCCTATGGTTCTTGAGAAGAAGATTTTTAAATGTTGCCATTATTTTTTCACTAATTCCTAATTATCTCCCCTTGAAAGAGGGCGTGGCCCTTCATTTGAACAAACTTGAATCCCCTTTACCCAAGGATACTTTGTGGCAAGTTTGGTTGAAATTGGCCCAGTGGTTCTTGAGAAGAAGTCGAAAATGTGAAAAGTTTACAGACAGACAGACGGACAGACAGACAGACGGACAGACAGACGGACGCCGGACAAAATGTGATCAGAAAAGCTCACTTGAGCTTTCAGCTCAGGTGAGCTAATAAAACTTGTAACAAAATCTTCAAATTCTGTCTTTCAAATGTAAATAATAATAAAGTTGCTATCTTAAACTTCATTTTTTTTTAAATCATAGAGGTGTTTAGGTCCTTATATTGAGCAGGTCCAGCACAATCTCTTGATTTAGCTATATAGCTTGAAATAGCTATATAGCTTAATTAAGCTATTCAAAATAGCTTGATGAAGCTATTTATATGCAGTTTTTCAGAAAAATGTTTTTTGTCATCTTCGCTAGCCAAGAGTTTCTGATACGCTACTCTCCTCATAAACCCTTGGCATACGGTGCTGACAAAAGACCGGATTGTTTTTGTCACGTGATCATGATTCTTACCAGGTACGCACAGATTGCGTCATCGACAGAAATAAAAAGCGTTTAAAAAATTTTGTTTTTTAAAGAATAATTAACAAGAAGGTATTGAGTTATGTTAATTTGTTATATAAACATGTAAAAATGCAAATCTACATCTTCAGTATAGATTCTTAATCATATATTTTGCACGTTGCTTTAGAAATTGGATGACACCATATTGCTATTCATAGAATGGCATGTTATCTTACAGATCATTGTTTACTTGCGTTTTACATTACCGATATTAAAGAGTCAAGATATATCCCGAACGCAAATATCGTCATTTACAAAAAACAATTGCTGATTGGTCGAACGATGTCGATCAACTCCAATCACAACTTGAGAAAAAAATCCCAACTTTTTTTAACACCGTATGCCAAGGGCTTATGAGGAGAGTAGCGTATCAGAAGCCCTTGGCTAGCGAAGATGGTTTTTTGTAAGAAATAGACAAAAAGTCGCAAGTATTTGACTACTGATATATGTACTATGGGCTATCAAAACAACAATCAAAATCAAAGATAGTCTAACATTGCAGCATTTGAATGCTTTTAAGCAAAAGATGAATTTCCATGGTTTGAGTACGGTAACTGTGCACTACCTTGTGTGTGTTGAGGTGTGGATAAGTATGATTGCTTCTCATTTTGCTGAATTATTACCACTCAATTATCTTGTTGACCATAATTGGCCTACTTTATAATTTCATTGAAGAAATAACTGTATCAATTGCTTCATACAGCCCCAAAAATTTTAAAACTTTGAGTACAAAGTCTCTTAAGGAGATGAAATTTGATGAGTGGTTTTTACTCAAATTATTTTCAGAATTCAAAGTTGAATATTTTCACTGCACCAAGGTGCTTCTTGTGCATGCTGAGAAAATAACATATTTAAGAAAAAAGTGTGATGAAATAGCTAAATCAAGCTATTCTGAATAGCTAAATCAAGCGATATAGCTAAATCAAGAGATTGTGCTGGACCTGTTGAGAATCAGTGTATTGATCTATAATCCTCCCATAAAAAAGGGAAAATAGATTATTTAAAAAATCTCATTAGTTTACCTTTAACCAATTTAAAACACATTCAACATTTTTTTAAATCATTACCTGTACAGAAGACACATGACCCATGTTGCGGAATATCTCGTTTCATGCAAGACAGAACTAGCTTACTGCTATTTCGGTATTCGCTATTTTTAAATGAAAGATTGAAGGTGGATCCAGGGATTTTTTTAAAAAATAAAAATAAACAGCTATAAAATGGTCACCATGATGTCTTAAAATACAAACAAATATACAGTTGTTGAAACTACCTGTACATACCATAATGTGTATACTGGCTTGAACGGACCAAGACAATGTGATACCTTTCACCACCTTTGAACCCACTTTAAAACAGGAAATAGTGCGTAGCATTATAAATATTTTTCTACATGGAAGGCCTGCCTCCCGAGGTTTTCCGAACTGCAATAGCCTGGTTCTCTGACTCACAAGTCTCGTTCAGCCAGTTTAAACAAATTTTTATCGGTTACGGAAAAGGGCGAGCGTGATCCGAATGGGTCTGCCAGTGAATTTCCGATCTGTACAATACGGAGATATACGGAGACAACCGAGCGTCTGGCGGAACGGAGAAAAGAAGCCAATCGATGTCTCGCGCACTTAGACAATGACCATGATGACTTTGACGAAGCGTGTATTAGGAACAGAATAGGGACGGGGACTAGGTTAATTAGTCGGCTTCCCCCCCTTAAATTCTACTGTAATACAGTTTTGACAATATTAAGCATTCTATTTACAATGTTTGAGTGACAACTATCCACTTAAAATAAATCTTATCAATATTCCTAAGTATTTACGAAACTAAATACGCCACTGACTCTTCTCGACATATTGCATTGCATGTGGTCAGAAATCGAGTGCAGTAGAGAGAGAAAAAAAAAGAGCTGGGTAAAACTGCTTCAGAGTACATGTATAGTTAATTTCAATTATGGACGACGAACAAGAAACCTACAAATTATGGCGTATTCGAAAAACAATAATGCAGGTAACTCACATCTGCATAGGCACTCGGTTTCAGCAGGGACCTATATACTAAATACTATATTAGTATATAGGTCCCTGGTTTCAGATAATGTTTTGTGTGTTTTCCTATGTGAGCAATGCCAGACCAAAATTTAAAATTATGCCTGTAGGGTTTTCTGCAGTTGTATTTTGTAGTTTAGTGATAAAGCATTGCCTTTCTAAAAAAAAAAAAAAAAAAGTATTTTTCCCATTTATCAAAGAAAAATGTCCCAGCTTTGAAACTTGAAAGATATTTGATTTCTGGCAATTTTTTTTCCATATAAGTGTTTTTATACATTCCCTCTGATAAAATAAGATGGTAGTCACTTGCTAAATATTAATTTAATATCCAAAATGTCCTTCGAAAATGAGCAGTGTGAACTGTTTTTAATCAGGTCCCTGTTTTAATGGACAATTATTGAAAATTGAAAGTAATGATTGAGATTCCATCCATATTTCATTCATCAAAAAGTTATAATTATTGATGTGAGTAGTAAATATACATATAATAATATATGTACTATATAATTTGCATGATTTTCATTTACTATTATACTGTCATCCGTAATTATACATGTAACTTGTTTTTTTTATGAATGAAGTATGGATAGAATTTCAGTATTTAAAACATCCTGAGTTTTTGTTTTGGTCATCGTTGGAAACCCTCAAAATCTTTTATGAATGAAGAATGGATAGAATTTCAGTATTTAAAACATCCTGAGTTTTTGTTTTGGTCATCATTGGAAACCCTCAAAATCTTTCAAGATTGTGAATTTGAGGGCCCCTGGGTTAGGGGTTCTGGTGTTTATTAAGGCAGGCTCAATTGATTACATATATGACAATACATTAATTCTTTGAAAACCTTCTCTTATCCCAGGTATTTAGCAGAAAAACTAAGTGCATAGTTATGATAAACAATTGTGCTTGTGAATTACATGGTTCCTGGGTGAAGGATTCTGGTACATGTAATAGGAATTGAGATGGGGCTGTGTTGAACATATAGTGAAATGCATTATTTTTTTTTTGAAAATCTGCTCTGCTCCTGGGCATATAGGAAGGAAAAAGAGTATAAAGATGTAATAAGCAAGGGTAATTTTACCAGATTTGTGAAATTCTGGACCACTTGGTCAAGTGTCCTGGTGTTAGGCAGGGCTCTACAAAGACTCCCCTTTACTGTTCAGGTATGATAATTCTGCAATTGTAAGGTCAATTGAATGAGAGATTTATACAATAATTTTTATAACATATAATACAAAAATTTCTTTCATAGTTTTTAAAGCTCAGGTAGACTTGTAAATAATAGATAAATGAAAATGAGACAAAAATACCTTATCTTTTGTTCATTAAATGTTCTACAAAGAGCAAGTGAGGCAAGTATTAGAGGGAATGAGATGGGTTTGCCAATAGTGCTCAAGCACTATTGTTTTGTTTGGTTTACATGGTGAAAGTGACAAATGGGGGTAAATATAGGCAAGTAAATAACTTGAAAATTGGATACCGAGTTCTAAAGATGTGATACCAAGTTCTAGACTAATTATTCTATTGATCCCTATTTCTCTTGTTTTTGGGCAACATAGCTTCATCTATCAATTAATTTTGTTTTCTTTTATACTCCTGTGGATCCTTTACAGTGTTGTATCATACTCAGGTGACTGTTAAGGCCTTTGTATTTAGATTTAGATCTTTTTGAAGAAAATGAACAATTTATTTATCTAGGAAAGAGTAAAAAAAGGCAAACATGAACATCATTGTTTAGAGCATTCCTCAAGGACACTGGAATAGGTACATATACTTGTGTAAATAACCACTATGGAGTAATTCTTTTTTTTTAGGAACAAGTATTGTTACTTGTAGTGTGTGGTTATAGCATTTTTATTGACACAGGATGGCTTGCGGCTTCCAATAACACAAGTCATTTTTGTTAAAATACGAGGGTTGTTCGGAAAGTTCGTGGACTATGCCAATCTTCGTTATACTATCTTCAAGAAATTTAAAATGAGCAAATTATCATATGTTAAAATATTTATTTTGTTTAAGTGTGAAGTTTCATTCAATGTGATTTAATAGAATTCATGTTATTTAATTTTAAAATCAACACATTTTGTAGCCACGGAGCAAACTCAACAACACTGTAACGTCAAAAACATACCGACATGAGGTTCTCAAAAATACTATCTCTATACATTTCACACGGTATTGCCCAATACCAATGCACTCATTAAAACATTTCTCTATCACTTGAAATCTATTTTGCTAACAATTGTTCCAGCAGCATCATTTTGTTTGTCAATGTTATATTTTTTTCACTGCATAAGTGTGCTTTCACAAGATCAGCATCTGTGAAGCGCCAAACTCCTAGCATGACGTTCCTAATTTTTCAATGTTTTTGATAAGATTTTTACAGATAATCCGTTTTCTCACAGATCACCATTGTCTAAGCAGAGTAGTCTATCATTCAAATACCACTTGTACCAAGTACACGCAAATGCATGGATCGCTTTCAACATATTTCCTACTTTCTCTGGCATTTTCAGATTTTTTTCTGGAGTTTTCCAGAGCACAACACAAAATTGTATGGTTAACTGCTGCCCCGTGATGTTCTACGACGTCATCTTTTTTGCCTTTTTCAATGAGGATTGCCTATCTTCTGAAACTGATTTCTTTTCAACAAAGCAGACAATTAAGTCATAATTTGGAATCAGAAATGACGAAGCAATTCTATTAATTTGAACATGTTGAATTTTTCTGTTTTTGTATCACTTTACAGAAGATATTACTTCAGACATTATTTAGTGTCTTGATTGTAAATTAAATAATCTTGATCTGATTTTCGCATTTTTTAAGTCTAAATAAGTTTGAAACAAACCACGATATTTTAAAATTTTTTGATACACATCATTTGAATTTACTGTTGAAATAATTCTTCCAAATTTGGATATAATATGACGTTGAGTTAAAAAGTTATGACAGTAGTCCACGAACTTTTCGAACAACCCTCGTAGAGTTCTTTATTTACATTTTTTTTTACAAACACGCCCGTTCAGTGGTCTAGAATGGCACTCAACACATAAGTCCTTACATGGAGCTCAATGGGACCTATAATATAAATCAAAGTTAGATATATACAAGCATAATTCACTTTGCTCATACTTGCACATTTTTACTGTACATTTACTAAGGTGCATTTTACTGCATTTTCCTTACTCAGAATATACACTGTACTTCTATATACACTTGACTACTTCCCTTTACTGAACTTTTACGTTCACTCATTAACTTAGTAACTCATGTATTACTTTATTACTATATCTACATTATACATATACTCATACACTGATACTTTTACTTATGATATATATATACAGTCAAAACTCATTATTTCAAACTGGTTGGGCCAAGAAAAAACTTTGAAATTTCCAAGGATTTGAGATATCCAGGGTAAAAATAGTTGGGACTTGAATATCACTTTGACATATCCATTCGTGTTCAAGATACTGAAGTTCAACTGTACATTACATGAGCAAATACCACTTTGAATCTAACTTACGAACAAAAATATAGAACAAAGTCAGGAATAAAACCGGCAAACCATATAACTAATAATAATGAATAAAATAAACTTTAATACACTGTACCCTGAATAGGTGGACTCTGGTCATTAGATATTAAACATACATATGAACAGTGGAAAAGAAGTTTGAGTTGTGTTAAAAACGTCTGCTCTTGTCAATTGCTATGCCCAGTCTCATTTCTGAAAGCAGGGATTTTGAATCGCCTAGTAAAACCTGAAAATAAGCTTCAAAGTATGGAGGAAAACTTGGGCAAGAAGTACTAGTTATACGATATGCTGATAAAAATATATGGAAACCATTATGGACATGAATTGTAACATTTTAATCTGACATTAAAGTTTAATTTTTTACAGCTTTGTCATGATAGAGGTTACTTGGTTACCCAAGATGAGTTGGATCAAACTTTAGAAGAGTTCAAAGGCCAATTTGGGGACAGACCAAGGTACTTATAGTTGAGTGGTCTAATTTTTGTCCAGAGAGAATTTTTCACAAAGATTATTTTGGTTATAAACTTTAAAAGTATATAAACAGTTACATCAACTATCCTTGTAAATTTTGACTTAAACTTGAATCCAGATAGAGAATGGTGTGTGCGAAATCCTTCTGCTTTATTAGCAGCCCCCCCCCCCTTTCCCATCCTTTTTCCACCAACATGAAGTCTTTCAATGATTCAAAGATTTGTACACATCTGTTTAAATCAGAAAATCACAGATTTTTTTAGGCAGTACCCCTCCCCTCCCCCCACCACAATTTCACATATTCACCCTCTCATGCTCATGATTACAATGTTAGGGAGGGCTGAATTTATCATATAGTGAAAATGCATTCCTTCTTTGATATTCTTTGCTGTTCCTGGATATTAAGCCAACTAGGTGTATGGTTATGATAAGCAAGTGTGCCTCTACTTCAATGTGACTCTATAGCATTAATCATTAATATAAAAATGCATAAAACTCTTAAAACTCTTTTTGTCTCATTATGCATTATTGACAGGAAAACTAAGTGCATTGTTATAATAAGCAAGGTTGGCTCTTCTAAAATTCATGTCCCCAGGGTCAGGGATTCTGGTGAAAATTTATATTGATCATATAGTAAAAATGCATTACTAATTCTTTAAAATCTTCTCCTCTGCACCTGGGTATATAGCAGCCATACTAAGTGCATGATTATGATGAGCAAGGGTGCCTCAATGTAAATTGTGAAATTCATGGTCCCAGGGTCAGGGGTCTTGGTATTAGGACAGGGCTCTACTTATCATATAATTATTGTGAAAATGCATTAATTTTTTTTAAAATCTAAGTCTGTAGGCATTTAGTAAGCAAACCAAGTACATACTTGTAATGAGCAAGGATGTTTTTATCAGATTTGAGAAATACATAACCGCTAGGTCAGGTCCTTGTGCTAGGATGGGGCTCCATTGTTTTTACTTTACTTTGAGAGAAGTTATTCCCCTTTGATTATTCACCTATGATAATAAATAACTCAGGTGACCATTATGGCCTTGGGCCTCCTGTCTACCAAATTTGCCACAAAGCATCATTTGCTAAAGAATATTCAGATTTTTATTCAAATGAAGAACTATATCCTCTTTTTAGGGGAGATAATTAGAAATGGTGAAAAGTTGGTCAATTACAAGTCTTCTTTCCAAGAACTACAAAATCAAAAATTACAAGATTTACATGAATGCCCCCTTAGACTGTGGTGTGAATTCAAATTTACACTATTTAGTCTCTCCTTCTATGATAAGCCAAATAGGAGATTTAAGTTTTATATAAGAATATATAGAAATGAAATCTTGAAAGATCAAAGCTTTAATTAATCACATTGATTTGAGAGTTAGATTTTTATAGTAATATAAAAGGAAAATCTTGAAATTTTCTTCTCAAGCACAACAGAGCCACAGTCTTATCAATATATTAGCACCTTCATGCATACAATATAGAATCAATTTTGTTCAAATAATACCAACAGGCAAGGGTTGAGACACACTAGGGATAGAAACTTGTCATAATAAAAGTTGGGATTTTTTTTTTAAATTATCCTCTCAAGAACAACTGGGCCATTTATTAATCATAATGATGGGTTTCATTTATCTACATTTGCATATGTGAGAATGGTGACTCTAATTAACATTATGACCTTCTGTATATTTTTCAGTGAAAGGAAGCCATCTAGAAGTGATCTTATTGTATTAGTGGCTCATAATGATGACCCAACAGGTATGTATAGTTTCCTAGTCAAGTGATTACTTCATAATTTAGGTTTCTTCATACTGGTATGTATGACATTGTTAGAAACTCTGTATGCAATAGATATGTAATTGTCTAAGAAATTTGTCTGTATTTGTAACAGTGTTTGAAACTCAACTTAAAATAAGCTCGACATGCAGGGCTGACTACTGATAAAAGCTGCATGTCAGCCCTGCTAAAGATTTACTAGTCTGAGTAGTCTGATTTTTTTTCCCCAAAAATTATTTTTATTACATATAAGAACTGTATATATATATATATATATATATATATATATATATATATATATATATATATATATATATATATATATATATATATATATATATATATATATATATATATATTAAGTTGTTACATTGTCTGTTTTACAAACAGATGGCAAGTTGCAATTCTATAAGTTGTTCCAAAGATTTCTCTCACCTCTTCTATGACTAGGAATCATACAGTCAGCTTAAGTTTCTGATGTATAGTTTTACAAGTTCTGCCACTTGGCTTGTTACACATCGCTACCAGTGCAAGTAGTTAATTTGTGACAGATTTAATGTAAAATTTCAAATAATGGAAATGTAAAATTTCAAATAATGGAAATTTTACCATATCTACCTTGGGCATCAATTAATGCAAGCAAATTTAATCGCCTGCAGCAAAATTTATGCATCAAGCTTGGGCGGTCGGGTGCATGGTTATTTCAAACACTGATTTGTAAGCATACTGGTAAAGTATATTAAGTACAAGAGCTAACAGTTCAATACTGCCTGCTCCACTAATTATTTCCTTTCTAACTCCATACTGCCACAGACCAGATGTTTGTGTTTTTTCCTGAAGAACCAAATGTGGGTATAAAGACAATTAAGACATACTGTCAAAGGATGCAGGAGGAAAATATCACACGGGCAATCATTATTGTACAAAATAAGATGACACCGTCTGCCAAACAATCCCTCACCGACATGGCACCAAAGTACATACTGGAACAATTCCTGGAAGCCGAGCTTCTCATCAATATTACAGAACACATGGTAAATACCAGTGGTTTGTATATTTAAATCTAATGTGGATTAAATATGCATGGTTAATTAAGCAGCTGTAATTACAAATTTTAATTGGTAAGGATCACTTCTTTATAATTGGAGCTTGGACCTATAGGACAGGGATTGGTTTTAACCTTTACAAAAAGCATGTCAGTTTCATTATGGTCAATGAATTTAGGCTACATACATGTAATAATTCATTTTCATTTTAGTACAGTATGTATAAAGATAGGCAGAACCTTTCCATACTGATAGACATTTACTATGAAGCATGATTATATTGTCAACACACTTTCAGTTTTTTATCTCAGAATGTTATTTGATTTTATTTCCCCCTTACTTTTCATTGTAAATAATGGTAATGTCTATATTCGTATTTTTTCTTGATGTGTGTTTATTTTACAACAAAATCTCCTTTGATATAATAAAACATGCCATTAATGTATACAAATTATAAAAATTAAATCCAAGGGAATGTAGATACTGATATGTTATCCTATACTGTTTGAAAACTTTAGATCTGAAATTTATTGACTCGGTACATGTATGTATTTCTAAATATTTACATTTCCAATTTCTTTGTCCGAGATAAAATTACAAATTGTAAAAATACTTTATTTCTACATAAATCTACTGGTTCATTGATAGGCGCGATTTAAAAAAAAAATCACGTGTGGGGCTGGACAAATAGAGACAGAAGCGGGGCTATTAGCACGGGAATTTGCAGAATCAGGACCATGTAAATTACAAGGAATATAACTGTCAGATTTTTTTGATTCATGACGATGATCAATCGATTGGCTTGCGTGATAATTGTATTAGTGGCTCATAATGATGACCTTCGGCGTTTATGCAAATTATCACGCAAGCCACTCGATTGATCACATCATGAATCCAAAAAATTAGACAGTTATTCCTTAAATATATTTTTTAAGTTCAGATAATATAAGCAGTACATACACTTTCCAGCGCAATAATGCAGACAAGAACTAGTAGTACAGACGGAATAAGAGCAATGTAATACACTTAATTAATTAAATTCTAAGGAATATAAATCATGCTCATCGCAGGCGAGAATATCTGTATTGAGTAACACAGAGTGAATAATTCTTGTCCTCGAAAAAAGTGTGCTATACTGAGGTATAATTCCGCTTGACTATGTTTTAATTACAGTGGAATTTATGATTTGCTTTCTCTTTAGTGTCTTTTATATCAAGAATGAACAGGCAAAAAAGATAGATAATTGAAAAAAATACACAAGACCCTATAAAAAATAAAATAGTCTATAAAAAGACAAGAATTTAAAAGTGTGGCACCAGGTGGATTTGAACCATGACTCAAAAAAAGTATATTTGGTGTATATACCCAGCTGTTTTTCCGATCTAGCGATTCTGGATTTGGAAATAGTGTGTATAAATGCAAACAAGGTTTTTAAAAACAGGTTTCCTTATTTTTTGAAGTTTTTTTGTGAATTTTGACCCTAGGGCAGGGGTGCCCCTAAAAAATTCTTTTCTTAAATTATTCCTTTCATCACAACCTATCAAAATATCATATTTTTATTTAGGGGCAGGCCTGCCCTGAAGAACTTCTAGGCCAAAATTCATGCAAAAATCGGTGCTTTAATGGACAAAATGCTGTTTTGGCCAACTTTGAAGGTTAATTTTTAAGTTGTAAATAATAAATGTTAGGTTCAATATACAAATTTGAAAAATTTAAAGATATATATATATATACATTAGTTAATAACTAATGAACATTGAATTTTACTTCAGTGACTTCTTACAGGAAATTGTTCTCTCCTATAGGTCAATTCTTTTGAAATAGTGAAAACATCCTTTACACAAAAAGACCTTGCAGGCTGTTTCGCTTTTGTTTGTTTGATCTACCTTGATATTCCATTGTAGCTTGTTCCTGAACATGTTGTGATGACACCTGAAGAAAAGGCTGAACTGTTGGCCAGATAGTATCCTTCTTATTAGTTGAGATTCTCAATGCATAAATTAAGTGATGGCAAATGTTAACTGGTTAACTGACTAATTGTGACAAATAATTAAGTCACAAGGTGGTGTAGAGACAAGTAATTTAGTTATTATAACCCTGAATACTTGTCAAAGTTTAAGTATCCCAATTTAAAAAAAAATCTTTCTGTTTCAATTCATGTGTTAAAAGTAGTGTTGTCAACGAGTACCATGTTAACCAATTAACTGTCAAATGAGAAGTTGGTAAAACTGCTATTTAGGTACTCAGTTTAAAGATATTTTACAGAATAAACAATGTTGCCATGGTTAATAAAAACAGAAATTTCTGAGAAAATCTTTCAAAAAGCTACTTCTTCTACAGTTTTTGTCCAGTTAAATTTGACACAAAAAGAGACTAAATCAAGGACAATTTTTTTATTTATAGCTGTTGTCTTAGTTTTAAGTCAAAGTGGTTCTTTACCTTTGTGAAGTAAAAACCAGCAGAGCTAGAGTCTTGTCAGAGACTTCTGGTACTGATCCCTGGATAATTGCTGTAAGGCATGATCTAAAGTTTCACAAATTCAATAGACTTAATTAGTTTTTACAGTTTATATAGACCATAATAAAAAAAAACACCCTAGATTCTTATCCAGATTTTTTTAAAAAAAATTGTGGAGAGCTGTCGGATTTCATTTTATATTTTTAATTTTTTTCATTTTACAGACCTCACATTCAGTGCAGATTTATCTTTTATACCTGCATAAAAATCATTGTAGAGTTCCATTTAATGTTCATATCTCTTACTATGCATCCTCACCAATCTTTTACAACCAATGGTCCTTGATTAATACATATTACAGCAAATATATCATTGAGAACTCTGATTGCCACATGCTTTTTCAGTTTTGAAGACAGGGGTAATGATTATTGCAATAATTTTTAAAGTCCTACCTGTACCAGTACAGTTAGTATTGATGGATGAAATGGAATGCCACCTCGGTCTTGAAAGTTTGGGTTTTTGAAGCATTTTAAACAATAAACAATTTTGTCCGTGCCTAAGTGACAACTGAAGATTGAAATATAAACTTGAAATTTCTTTGTTGATTCTATTTTGGACTATGGTCTATTTTGATTATATCCGCTAGTGTAGATTCAAGTTTATTCATGACTTTTGGAGTAGGGTGGGGCCACAATAATGTGAAGTTTTACATAGCAACTCAGGTGAGCATTCTGGCTAATGGGCCTATTTCAATTAATAGTATATTGTACACATGTATTTATAATCCTTAATGGCAAAACTAGCAAATTGAAAGAATCACAGTTACCCAGAATACAGCAAGGTGATCCTGTAGCTCGATACTTTGGTTTAAAAAGAGGACATGTAAATATCTTTTGTAACTTTTTTTGAAATGTCAAGATGTTACATGTAGATTTTATTTTACAAATTTGTTAGCTGCCTGATGACAGAATACATTCTTTTTTCATTATGTAAATGACAAGTGTATATGTAAGTTCCATCACCATTTATATGTTATTATTGTGTTCAGTCAATTTAGGAACAAAAATGAAATAGCTTTTTAGCTCTTCTGAGTCAAAGGCTCAAAGAGCTAATGCTCTGGCCATTTGTGCGGTGTGCGTAAACTTTTTAGAATATGGGCCATAACTCAAGAACCTCTTGGCCAATTACATGTATTGTCAAATTTGTCACAGGGTATCCTTGGCCCAAGGGCTCACTTTTATACTAAAACTAGGGTTGTGACCCTTAAACAAGGGGAGATAATTAGGAAAATAGAAACAAAAGCACTGGTTGCTAAAAAATCTTCTTCTCAAGAACCACTGGGCAGATTATCACCAAACTTAAACAAAAGGATGATGATATGTTGTAGATTAAAATTTGCACGGGGATTTACCCTGGGGCAAAGGGCTTGGTCTCAAGGTCACTTCAAAGTTGACCAAAAATTACATTTTATTAAAATGTTGATATTTTGCTTACTATAAGGACTAGGATCATCAAATCTTGTCAGTTGATGCATCTAAGGACTGCATTTCATGATGACTGAAAAGTAGGTCACAGTGACCTACTTTTTAAATTTTGTGGCCATTCTTTTTCAAAATGTTTTAGAGGCATATTTTGAACAATTTAAGGCCTATGATCATCAAACTTTGTCAGTTGATGTATCTTAGGTCCTCGGAGTACAACAACTGAAAAGTAGGACACCATGACCTACTTTTGAAAATTTATGGCTTTAATTAAATATTTTGGGTACTTATTGGCTTAGAATCATCCAACTTTGTCAGTGATGCATCTTGGGTCCTTGGAATACAACAACTGAAAAGTAGGTCACTTTGACCTACTTATAAAATTTTATGGTTATAATTTTAAAAGATATTTTAGGTATTAATTGGCTTAGAATCATCAAACTTAGTTGTTGGGTCCTCACTGAATGACAAGTGATAAGCAGGTCACCATGACCAACTCTCAGGGACTAATTGGCTTAGAATCATCTTGGGTCGCCCGCGTGGCGCAGTGGTTAGAGCGTCTGCTCTAGAGTCGTGGAGTAAGGAGTTGATCCTTACGTCGCGGCTTCGAATCCCACTGTGGGACGTGGAGACCGGTCCTTTGGATGAGACCATATAAACCGAGGTCCCGTGTCGCAGGAGGTACTGGCACGAAAAAGATCCCTCACTGCTCAATGGCCGTAAGTGCCGAGTATAGGACAAAATTTGCAGCTTTCCACCGGCAAGTGGTGGCGTCTCCATATGAGTGAAAAATTCTCGAGAGGGACGTTAAACAACATACAAACAAACAAACAAGAATCATCTTTGGTTCTCAGATTGTAAATTGGAATTTCAAGGGTTTATCTAAATATACAGGATACTTAGAGGCTTCAAATAGAAGTGATAGGTTGTACAGTTTATCAGAAGAGTGATTCAAGGCCCTTGGGCCTCTTGTTAATGTCCTACTTGTAATTTTCTTAATTTAGGTTGTAAAGATCATCAGAAATTCAGAGACTGCAGGGAGATATGTGAGCTATCGCTTAGTGGTATGAAACAGAGGAATTTTAAAAGAGAACAACATGAGAATAGGACTTGGTCAATCAGAATAGTTATGATGCTTCATGAGGACATTTTTGAAATACTCTTTTACATATATTTTTTTTACTGCAGTAAAGTCTTGTTGAAGGATTTTTATTAGTGTGAAGAAACAGTGCATATGAACATTCAGAGATATAAAAGAATGATAATTGTTCATATACAATTTTCTGTTCATGAGCATTTCATTAAGCCAAATTGTATTTTTGGCACCTGGATTATTCAGGTAGCCTTAATGTGCATTATCAACTGTCGTGTCAGGAATTCAACATTTTCCATTGTCAAGTTTAACTTGTAGAGTGTGTTCAAAGACAAAGCAACACTTGCTATTAAACAAGTGATATGACTGATAAAACATAATCTCAGTACCTAATCCAAATTCATGTTCTTCACTATAATTTTATGTGGCAGTACTATTGTATTCATGCACGCATCAAGCACAATAAAAGGAATATGAATTCAGGACATTAAAGTAAATGTACGTAATATAAGAAGCTTTGATTTCTTTTTCTGCCATGGGATCAACTGACACACATGTCTCATTTGTCAAAAACTTCTGTGCAAATTCAGATTCAGTCACTGATGAAATACTTTTTTTTTCAGTGCTGAATTCTTGATCTTATCAACTGGACAGAAAATTCTCACTATCTGCTTTGCAATGTGTTTACAGTTTTTGCTTTTTTATTATGTTGCAGTGCCCTGCATCTCTCTTTTATTAGGTCACCTGAGCCACTCAGGCTATCTGTTTTTGTCCGACGTCGTGCGTCATGGGTTGTGTGTCGTCCCTTAACATTTGAACATTTTCAGCTTCTTCTCTAAAACCGCTGAACCAGTTTCAACCAATTTTGGCATGTAGCATCTATGGGTAAAGGGGAACAAAAATTTTGAATGTCCTAGTCCCTGCCCCCTCCCCCCAGGGCCTGAGGGGTGGGGCTAAAGCCATCAAGATTAATGCAATCTTTAAAAATCTTTACTCCTGGATATCAAGCAGTCAGACTGTTGGCATGATTGTAATAAGGATTGAGTCCTCTACCAAAATTGTGAAATTCATGGCCCCAGGGTCAGGGGTTCTGGTGCTAGGGCAAGACTATATAGATCATACAGTAAAATTGCATTATTTCTTTGAAAATCTTCTCTGCTCCTGGGTATTAAACAAACTAACTAAGTACAGTTATGATGAGAAGGGTGCTTCTTCCAAAATTGTGAATTTCATGGCCCCTGGGTCAGGGATTCTGGTGTTAGAGTGGGTCTTTGTTGATTATAATATAAAGGCACTGTCATGCAGCTTCAAAACATTGATAGACTGATTTCTGTTTCCCTTTTATGTACATGTATGTCCTCCTTGATTCAAATAATTAGTCCAAAATATTACACAAACAAATTAGATTAATTGTCCACAATCGCCATGCAAATACCGGTAAGTAGATCCAATTTTGAAGTTTGAGCTTGCGGAACTAAGTACAATACAGCGTTCACACATTACTGCTTCATTGACTGTGCAGATCGTCGTTATATTGAGCACTCCATGGAACAAGCAAATATTGATGACCTGTATAGGTTATTTTTGTTTTGTTTTTTTGTTATTAATATTATTTAATTTCTTAAAAAATATTTATTTATTCATGCATGTTACTGTAATTGACTTAACATTTTCGAAAGAGGTACAAGTCAATGTCAGTAATGATGACTGCGTAAGTTTTTCTCGGTAACTCGTGTGACCGTTTGTTTGACAGTCACAAACCCATACTTAACAACCAGTGTAAATAACCACTTTAAGAGTAGACTACATGTAATTATTTTGTTGATCCTGATCATCCTATTTCTCTTGCTTTTGGGCAACAAAGCTTGCTATGGCAATTTGTGCAGTATGAGTCAGCTTTTTGGAATATGGACTGTATCTCAAGAACCTTTTGGCCAGTCATTATCAAATTTTTCACACAGTATCCTTGGCCCAAGGGCTTTCATTTATACTAAAAATAGTGATGTGATCCTTAATATAATTAGGAAAATAAAAACAATTGGTTCGTAAAATCTTCTCAAGAACCACTGGACAGATTATCACCAAACTTAAGTATGAGGATGAGGAAATTTTCGTTATAGATTAAAAATTGTTTAAGGCATCACCCTGGCTCAAAGGGTGTGATCTAAGGGTCACTTCAAAGTTGACCTAAATGATGTTTTGTTAAAACTTTTGCCCAGTGTAAGGACTAGGATCTTCAAGTCCTGTCAATTTTATGTATTTTAGGACTTGGTGTCATGTTGACTCAAAAGTAGGTCCGGGTGACCTACTTTTTAAGCCGAAGGCTCAAATGAGCTTTTCTGATCAAAATTTGTTCATTGTCATTGTCATAAACTTTTCACATTTTCATCTTCTTCTCAAGAACCACTGGGCCAATTTCAATCAAACTTGGCAGAGTATCCTTGCGTAAAGGGGATTCAAGTTTGTTCAAATAGAGGGCCACATTTTCTACCATGGGGAGATAACTTAGAAATTGGGTTGGGGTATGCAAAAATCTTCTTCTCAAGAACCACTGGGCTAGAAAAGATAAACTTATCTGAATGCTTCCTGACATAATGTAGATTCAATTTTGTTCAAATCATGACCCCTGGGAAAAAGGGTGGGTCCACAATGGGCAATCAAAGTTTTACTTAGAAATATATACATGTAAGAAAAATCTTTAAACATCTTCTCATGAACAGCTAAAGCCAGGATTTGAGATATTTATATGAAAGCATCCTGAGGTAGTGTAGATTCAAGTCTGTTCAAGTCATGACCCCCCCCCCCCCCCCCCCAGGTTAGGGTGGGGTCACATTGAGCATACAAAGTTTTACAAAGAAATATACAGCAAAAATCTTTAAAAAATCTTCTTCTCAGGAACAGCAATGCCATGATTGATGATATTTATATGAAAGCATCCTCAGGTAGTGTAGATTCAAATTTGTTCAAATCATGCCCCCAGGGGCTAGGGTGGAGTCACAATGAGCATACTAAGTTTTACATAGAAATATATAGGAAAAGTCTTTAAAAAAATCTTCTCAAGAACATAAAAGCCATGATTGGTGATATTTACATGGAAGCATCCTCAGGTAATGTAGATTCAAGTTTATTTAAATCATGACCCCTGGGGCTAGGTATCAGTCAAAATGAGCAAACAAAGAGCAAGAGCCACTTAGGGCCTTTTTTGGCCCTGTGAGTTTCTGAAAAATCAAAACTGCTCAGTTTTAGTTGATAATGCAGTATTTATCACTTGGACCCTTCGTGACCGTGTATCTATTAAACATGACGTAATTTTCTACATAGTCAATGCATTATGCGTCATTTTTACCATATCCTGTAAATTCCTTCAAAAATGGCCAAAAGTTGGAGTATTTTTTCAATATTTCATAGGGATGTCAAATCTGTCAATTTTTGATAATCGGTTACTCGGACTTTTTTCTGATCGAGTACCCGGGTACTCGGTAAAAGTCTAAATACAAGTGTGTTAATTTTCTTGAACCCCGTTAAACCCCAAGGCTGTTTTTATCACGTGTATAAATGTACTATATAAACACCGATTCCAACGTAAATGATTTTTTGGCACTAAATTTATTTATCAAATAAACACAAAAGAAATAATTATTAGATCAAAAATTACAAATGGTTTACAGTTCTTGTATAGAATCTATATTTCATTAAAAGGAGGACACTCTGTTACGCAGGTTTGTGATGATTAGACTAGCGAAAGAGAAGCAACGGACGCCGTTGGGATCGCTAGTCTAATGAAATAGTAAGTTTAGTCTTATATTATAGTAAGTTTAGTGTATAAGGGGAAACAATTTTATATGTTGATTGCTTCCCCCGTATATACTAACTGACTAAACTTACTACGCTGACTTTCAACATTATTTTTTAAATATTTAGTTATTTCTAAGTATTTCTTCACTTTTGAAGTGAGTAGTGGCATTTCTATGCATGTCCGATTTCGCTGCCGTATATTAACTAAATAATTTAAAAATGAATTTAGGATAAAAGAGCATCGATGTTCACTGAAAACAATCACTGAAGCCATCCAAAAATTAAGGACCACAATAGGTGAGAACAGCTGGGTAACTAATTACTGTATATACACAGCCACAGGCGATAATTGGTGATTAGAGGTGTAGAAGACTACACGCTATAATTACCATATGCAAACATGTATTTAAATTAGTTTTTGATAAATTTTTGATAAAAATAAGTACTTTGAAATAAGTAAAAATACACATCCGAGTAACCGAGTACCATTTTTAGTATTTGATACTCGGACGTTCGATCGAGTACCCGGTTAACCGGGTACTCATTGACATCCCTAATATTTCATATAGAACACAACCTCTGATTCAAAATATGTGATTACATAATGAAAGGTCTGTTTCTTAAGATCATAAGACATGTTTTAATTTTTGGATCGATGGCTGTGCTCTTATTTTAATTCTTTGCTGAATCTAGTCAAATATGCCTGTTTTCTGCAAAATTCAAGAACATTTCATTTTCACAAAGCCTGTTTTCCAATACCTGAATTCTCAAAAAGAAATTTTGTTATAGGAAATGAGAGCACTTAGTCTATACTTTATTTTGATATATGAAATGGGACAGAAGATGATAGTCAATTAATTGATACAAGAACAGGGCCATTTTATGCATAAAGTGAACCTAGCTCTTTTTATATAGAAATACATGTATGTATGAAAAGTCTTTTAAAAATCTTCTCAAGAACAGCAAAGGCATGATTGATGATATTTATATGGAAGCACCCTCAGGTAGTGTAGATTCAAGTTTGTTGAAATCATGAACCCTGAGGGTTGGGAGGGGCTGCAGTGGGTGATCAAATTTTACGTTGGTATACCTATGAACAATCTTAAAAAAATCTTCTCAAGAGCAGCAAAGCCATGATTGGTGATAATTATATTGAAGCATCCTCAGCTGCAGGTAGTGTAGATTCAAGCGTGTTCAAATCATGACCCCAAGGGGTAGGGAGGGGCCATAATTGGTGATCAGAGTTTTACTTGAGAATACATAGGATAAATTGTTAAAATCTTCTTTCCAAGAAAAGCAAATCCATGATTAATCATATTAATTCAGAAGCATCCTCAGGTAAGTTATATTCAAATTTGTTCAAAGCATGTCCCCTGGGGGTAGGGCGGGGCACAATAGAAGATTGAACATATAGAAAAAAATCTAAAGCCATGATTAGTCAAAGAAATATGAAGGCATCCTCAGTGAAGATTCAAATGTAAATTAATCAGGCTCCCCTTTCCTGGGGGAGGGGTATTTGTGATCACCTATATATTTAACCTTTTTAATACTAAACTGATTTCTGCTTTTTCTCTAGCCATTATACTCAGATGAGTGATGTGGTCCATGGGCCTCTTGTTATTTTTGCAAGTATTCATTTTCAAATTGGTTTTAATGCATATCTTGGAGACTTTGAAGCCTTTGATCATCAAAACTTGTTAGTTTATGCATCATGGGGCC